TATAAAATCAAGCTGAAAGCACTACAGTATTTGTATTGAGGAAGCTTCTGCTGCTGCTTCAGCATCAAGGCAGCATTGATAGGGTAATAAGCATCATTCGTCAGTCCTGAATGGAGATGCCAGTAGTAGCAACAAGTAACTGCTAGATGTACATTGGCAAAGAGCCTCTGGGAGACCTATGCTCCATTGGGGAAATCAGTTTTTCAAAATGGAGAAGACTGTATTAAGGACCGTGCTTGTAAATGAAGAAAATACATTTAATCAAAAGCAGTGTGCTCTGAATTTTGGCACATTTTATTTCATGAATACATTATTAACACCTCAGGCCAATTGGCTTAATGCCTATTTAAACACGTTTTGACCCTACAAAACCTAATGGATCTTACAACATTCTGCTTCTTCCTTTAAAAATGTCTTCCATCCGTAGTTAGTGACCTGATAAAATGTGCTGGCTTTTCTAAGGCCATTATAATCTATCATGTTAATCTTGCCACTACAAGTTTTAAATGTTCTATTAAAAACATAACAGGCATGGTCAAGAGGAAAACAAAACAAAACCCCCAAACAATTTTCTAATTAATCCATCATTCTCGGCTGCCCAACCCCCAGAACACATTAAGACATTAATCCATCTAACAAACTAATTGGCACTACATTTACAGGCTGTGAAATTGTTTTCATCTAAAATAATGCATAAACAAATATCACCTGTTTAATTACCTCCCCCCTGCTATTGTGAGTCTCTGCAGTCCCTCCTTTGCCCTGGGTGCCCTGCGCCTTTGGGGAAGAATAAAACATGGTGTGAGGCTGCAGGGCATAAGGGCTTAATGTGTCCCAACCAGAATTATTCAGGCTCCCTGTCCTACACTCTTCTTGGCTGCAGCAGGAGGCAATGTCTGTGTGATTGCTTGAAAGAGCAGTGGCAGACCAAGGTATTATTGAGGCAGTGAACTTCAACAGCTTGCAAGTGGAAGTGGTGGCAAAAGAATCAGTGAAGCTGCTGGGCCTTGAGTTTCGGGAGCTTTTATTCTCTAGTATGAACAGGGCCTTCTGGAACCTTCTGGAAAGTTAATGTGCCCAGTGGAACCATTTTGGGCTGTGGCAGCTTATTTGTAGCAAATTGTGAGTGGCAGGTGCTTGCATCTCCCCATTGAGGATAATTAGCTATTTTCTGGGGCATTCCCTTTCCCAACACTTTCCATTGGCTGGTGAATGAGGGTTGTCTGTGGCCCTGTGTGGGTCAACCTTTTCTCCTTTGGCGAAACCAAGGCTTCCCTGGGCAAATGTTGAGTACCATTGACCCTCTTTTAGTGCCATATATTGCTCGACTAAGTGGAAACAGTGCAAGCTGTTTGAAGGGTTGAAGAGACTAGATTTGTTTGGGCTTCTGTGCTCCTTGGGTGCAACTGGTATTGTGAAGGACACACTGTGTGATTGGGGCACTGCTGTGTGGATATACTAGGTGGTTCTGCCAGGGCTGGCCTGCCCATGAGGTACAGTGAAGCAGCTGCCTCAGGCTGTGGAATTCCACAGGGCACTGTGGGACCCTGCCTCCACCCAGCAATATCTTACTGGAAGCCGCCACATCAGTGGCATCTGCCTGTTTTACCTCAGGCAGTGAAACAGGACAGGCTGCCCCAGGTTCCGCACTCACCTGAAAGTATGTTGAGACCGAATCAATGCCTTGAAGTAGAAATGGGATGACAAGGAACTTGGGACCTGAAAGGATGATACCTCCAGCATACAAGTAAATATTTTAGGGCAGCACCATTCTAACTATGCAGAACAAGATGTAACAGGCCAGGTAGACCCTTACTTAGGGTGAGCTGCCTCAGTAATGGTGGAGCTGGACTCCTCTCTCCTGCCAACACACTGGTTGATACAATGAACCAACACAACACCATCACTTAACCTTGGGCACATTTCTTCATAAGGAACCATCTGAGAACCACATGACCGTTGTTGGCAGGGCAGAAGCAGAATTGAGCAGATCAATGGGTTAAAGTCTTTGCACATTCCATCCATGTAAAAGGCATACCCATGCAGCCACAAATCTTCCATCCTTCATCCCGCCAAGCAAAAGGCATTATCACAGTTCAAGGGCACATTCCAGCCAGGCAAAAGCACCTGAGGAAGGGGCAGTGTGGGGCATGGCCTGTGAAAGCATCCTTAGGGCCTAACAAAGGGACCTGAAGGGTCACAGGAATGACCCATGGCTCAGAGATTTTTCAAGCTTACATAAAGAAGGCTACTCACCCTGTATACGAATCAGGTCCCGCTCAAGTGAAACCTGCCATGTATTGGAAAGAATGCTCACTGGAGACCCCCAGAAGGAAATTCAAAATGGGGGAGCAAGTAATGGTGGTTCTAGTGGTGGATTTGGCAAAGAAAGGACAGCACTTCCTCCTTATCCATGCTGTTTTCAATACCAATGAAGACAAACATCTTACTCAATGAGAGAACTACAAGTCCCACCATCCCTACCAGGACTTGAAATTGGCATTTTTTGCTTGGGAAGATGGGAGCTGTAGTTCAGTTCCATGATCCCAGACATAAGTCTTGATATGCGGCATCAGTTTTCAAAGAAGGATAGTGAAGGAGAAGAGGCCTGATACCTCATCCAATCCACAATATAAGCATTTTCACATTATCGATCAGGTCAGGAGCAGAAGTGTGTTAGAACAATAGAGGAAGACAATGAGTACCTCTGCTCAGTTTCTTATTCCTCACGGCTCCTTTGCACGACCCCAATCACCTTTTTCCTTGCGCAGGAAATATAGAGCATTACACCAGTAAAGTAGAAGGGAAGGCAATTGGTACCCATGGTGTGGTGCAACAATGATACAACTATGCACAAACAGACTATTCATAATTCACACAAATCTTGTCCTACATTGCAAAGACAACACTCACTGAGACATTCAAGTGAATGGCCTAAAAAAATTAGGTTCTAAAAGTAGAGGTTCAAATAAGTTCTAAATTTAGAAGGGGAGAATTTGGATCAGTTCTGTGTAATCAGAATATGTTCTTTGAGAAAGATGCACAGGAATGCCAGGTGCTGAAAAGTCTGCATTATTAAACTTCTTTAATTAAATCATCTGAATTTTCTGCTATTTTTCTTCCATCTCTAGATAAAGCTGAATTCTTCCAGGCTGAATATACTCTGTAGTCCTTCCTGTGCTTCACTATTCCTAATACCCTTATTTCACTATTCTCTCTCTCTTAAAAAATACCAGAACCAATGGTAGAATAAGAAAATCACTAAACGATCCTTGATCTTTTCTTTTTTCTAATCCCATTATACTGGCCACAACAAAGTATCAGCCTCTATTTGTTTTTGTTTTTACATAAAATCTCTCATTTCCCTTAAATTGGGACTTTGACACCTGGAAATACCAGAGGTCTTTCCATTCTAATATATGATGATTTCTAGCGACTAGGAAATACCAGAGGTCTCACCCTTTAATAGACAATCATTTTCAGTGACTTCTTGAAATTATCTGCAAGCCCAGGACAAGGTTGCACTGCATATTTAGGCTTGAAAAATGGCTCCTTCCAAATTGCTACTCCTCTAAGTTATAAGTGTCATGAACAGAACTGTTACAGACATTGTTATTCTGGTATTGCCTTTTGTTGACAAAAATCACGTCTCCAGGACTAAATTATACTTTATAATGTTTTCATACTTTTGCATGTCAAAGTAGTACATTCTGTGAATCAAACAGAGTTGAGCAACCTGTTACTTTGTATTAATTGTACCAACCACTGATCACCTCTGATTACTGTATTTTAAGAGACCAAAGCATATTTCAGACCAAAGCTCTTCCACTGATGATGAGATTATACCTAAGGAGAGGGAGCTTTGAAGCCAAAAAAGAAAAAAGACAAATGAATGCATGTTCTACCGTGGATTTGTCTCTGCCGCAAATATTTGGAAATATATTATACAAAGATTGTCTTTTGTGTTGTTATCACTGAGGCAAACAGATCAGCTTTGCTAACTCCTAGGCATTCTGTCTGTCCCCTTCCTGCGTGTGTGTATATGATTGCAGCCTTTAGTCACTAATGCCATAATGTACAGTAATTTTGATTCCTGCATCAGCTTGCTTTCATTCAGACCTTCAGGATTTACTTTTTTTCCAATGTGTGTGTTCTTTTAAAGCCACATTTTAGCTTTCTGGTTTCAGGGCTTTTCAACATTGTTTTCTAACCCCATTGTGACCCACGTGTAACACGATCGCTATAACTTCAAAATACTATGACTGAGATGTCTCTGTGGTCCACAACCTTCATACCAGATTAGGGTTGCCATACGTCCAGAATATTCCACACATATCCGAATACCGCAGTAGGCAGCAGAGACTGGCGGAAAATAAAAAGCTAAACAACTGCCAAAAATAGCTCAACAAGTTTTTTGTTGAATTACGGCAACCTTATACCAAGTGCATAGGCTATAACCCACACCTCCAAGTGTCCCTATTTTCCAGGGACAGCCCCGGAATTACGAAAGCCATCCTGGATTCTGCCAGCAGATTCTGCCAGCACCGCCACCGGCAAGCTTGGGGAGGAGGATGAGCTGGCAGCAGCAGCGGTGGCCTCTTCATGGCCACCACTGCTGGCCTCATCCCTTGGGTAGCTCATAGCACTTGCTGCAGAGTGGGCAAGGAGGAGGAAGAAGAGAGGCCCAGCCTCATATGACTCTCTGGCTCTGAAGTGTAGGCAGAGGGCAGTCATGGCTATCCCCCCAAAGAATACTGGGAACTGTAGTTTGTTATGGGTGCTGATAGTTGTCAGGATATCCCTATTTTCCTCCCAGAACTACTGTTTCTAGAATGATTCAACAATCAATCCTCTTTTCCCAGGGAACACTAGGAATTGTAGCTCTACTTATATAGTTCTACTTATATACACCTCCTCCCAGGTATTTGGCCAATCGGAGAGGCATGAGAGTTCTCTAGGTTTTTCTTTTCTTCATTTTTGTTTTGTTTTGTTTTGTTTCATTTCCCCTTAAAGTTCAACTTTCTGAACTAAACATTTGTCCCTCCTGGTCAGCAAAGTCTCTAAAACATTTTACAGCCGAAACAGAGCACAAATGACTAACAAGTTTTTGTTCCTTCACAACAGGCTGGAATTCGCCTTTTTTATGGCTGCCACTCACTGGGTAGATATCTTTATTGAACTATCTACTAGGATGCCAAGTCTCGCTCCAGCTCTGCCACCTCCAGTTCAGACCCCAGGAGCATGTGTGTGAAATTAAGATTCTTTGCTCCAAAATGCATCACTTTACACTTGTTTACATTGAATTGCATTTGCCATTTTACTGCCCACTCACTCATTTTAGAAAGGTCCTTTTGGAGCTTTCTGCAATCTCTTTTTGTTTTAACAACCTTTAACAATTTACCATCATCAGCAAAATTTAGTGGGGTCCACGTTACTGCAGATCACTAGAATTTCTAAAACACCAAATCATAGGAATCAAATATCATATAGATCGATATGTGACAAGCATGTTGAGAGAGTGCCTTCCCCAATACCTCCTGACTTTGAGCCCTGCAGGCAACACTAGAGTCCCTACTTGTGATCTCATCAACCCTGGCAAGATAGTAACACAAGATAGGATGTTCTTGGTAGCAGCACCCCATTTACAGAACTCTCTCCTGAGTAATATTTGGCTGTATTCCACATAAGATTTATGTTAAAATCATTCATATGTACAGGCCTTCATGTCTTAAGTCATTCCGGAGCAGATGATGCTGATTGGTTTTGATTTATGTTTAAAGTGTATTTGATTTTAGACTGTTTCTACTGTATATTTTTATATTCTCTTCTATACTGAATTCTCTTTGGGGTGAGCTACCCTGTATTCCTACCTTGGAGAAAACGCTGGTATAAAAAATGCAGAATAAATAATAAACAAACAAACATTTGGGAGCACCATGCTGGCCAACCCTGGCATTGATCAAGTACATACTGACAGAAATGTCACCACATTCTTCCAGGATTTTCACATAACCTAAGTAATCCCTGTAAACCTCATTGATTCAAATGCACATTTCAAATAATCTGATTGCTGTTTTGCCCTTTTGTTGCAATTTGATAGCTCTGTTCATACTAATAAATCTCTTACTTTAAAAGTTGCAGTTTTAATCTGGTTATTTCTTTTTTAAACAACAACACTGTATTTGTTGAGAAAACCTGTTTGCATTTGGTACGTTTTAAATTTCATATCACTTTAGCATCTCCCTTATAACCTCCTCCTCCTCCTTATGCTCATTTGTTATGCAAAATTTCAGTATGGGGGAGGGGAAGAAAAGGGAAAAAAAGGTTGATATTTTAGTGATGATAAACAGGATGGGAAGTGGCAGTAGCAGAGAAGGATTTCCAGCTCTGTGGAAAATAGAAAAGAACAATTTGATGGATATAAAGCATTCCCCACGTCTCCTCACATAATAAATTGGAAAATAGAATGTTGCCTTCTTTGTTTCACTGAAAGCAAACAGAAAAGCAAATGATTTAAGACACATTTTTTCTGGTCATGACTTCCATTTTACAAAGGAGTTTTCAAGATAATATTAGATAACTGTTTCAGGGAACAGAAGTTTATAAATCAGTCATGACAAATTCTTAAATTAATGGATGTTTCTGCAGAGAGCTCAGCATTTCAGCAGTGCTTCTATTCACTGCTGAGCTTGAGCAAAATCACCAAAAATATAAGGATGTTTGCAATCCTTAAAATGGCAACAGCAACATAGCAATAGCTCACTTTTCCCACAAACTAACACCTATTTTATAAATGCCCATTCCCCACTCCAAAGAATATTCCAAGTCCTCAATACACCGCAGACACCATTCCAGAACTTAATCCTCTTCTACACATCATTCACAGAGATGTCTCCTATCTTCAGCTTCCATTTCTGTTTTCCTCAAAAGCTGATGAATGAAAATTCTCTCCCCTGTACTGAGGTGGAGTTTGTTTGTTGTTGTTGCCAAATAAAAGCAATGGAGACTGACAGGCATAATTCTTACATTAAAAAAAAAAGTTGATATGCTCATGTTTGCTATTTGCCTATTCCCTCTTTCCATTTTAATTGAAAAGTACCACTTCTTAAACATACTCACAAGATACTTAGTAGATATGGAATGGACATTATGTTTTGAAATCAGATCTAAGACAATGTTCCCTACATCATGCTATTCAAGCTGTCTTTACAACCTGCTTTGTCTATAGTCATATTTTAGCCTTCCTTTGACACAATTAGAGAGAAAGCCAGGCATAGAACAGAGGCCAGAATCACAACAGGCATTTAGCAGAGCAAGTTGGCCCTTCTGGGTATGAGGCCTCAGCTGCCTCTGCTTTGGGCCAGGCTTGATTTCCATGCTGTTGAAGCTTAATTGGTAAATGTTGACCAGATGGCCAGGATATACAACTTGAAACAACATGCTAGGCCAGAATATTGAAGGAGGAGAGGCTGCTTTAGTCAGGGTAGGGCTCAAAATCAGAATATAGTGGGAATAAATGACACACATAAGCCTCAACATCTGGAATTCCTAGTGTAGAGGACTATATGGCCTGCAACTATAATCTATCTATTTACCCATCAGTGCAGAGGAGGCAGGCTATCTGGTTTTGAGGCCATATAACTGTGATCATATGCAATTGTTTCTATGCTTGATTTAAAGTGTTGATATTGATCTTTGAAAGGGTAGGGATACTCAGAAACTGTAAGCTCTCATATGAATCTGCTTTTAAGACTGACCATAGAGGCCTTGTCAAATACAGTGCAATCCCTGTCTCATCCATATAAGAAACTGGTTTTATAAGTGTTTTATTTTATTTTAAGACACTTTGTCTCAACAGAAAAGCAGCATAAATAGAATGGGTGAAGTCCAACTGCATCAGTCCACCAACAAAATTGACACTATTGCTAGAAATAGTTCTCCCTTCATCTGTAGCCCCCTCCCAGCACCCCACACATACCTCCAAAACCTGCCCCTCTGGGACCCTCCAGGAAATATTTGTTGGCACAAGGAACAGTCATGAGGGAGGGAACAAAGAACAAGTCCTGTTGCATGAGTGCAAATCCACTTGCACAAGATTGGATGTTAGCCAATAAATTAAATTAAGGTAGTTATTGTGTGCTTCTGTTTCTAGCTCATGTGCTACTGTGTCTAACCAGTTGTATCTCTTTTTTATTACTCTGTCACCAGGTTACTGTAACAAAGCCTTATTTTGCATTGAACAACATTTCTGCTTTACCTTTCCAGTTTTGCCTATTATTATGAAGTTAGACATGCGTTGTGCAAAATACATTTTTTTATCAGAGGAAAAAAACTAATTAAAAGAAAACGCTAATGATAAGAATTTTAATTACTGCTCACTAAAGATGCAATTATAAGCAGATAACTTTCAATTACAGAAGCAGTGATGAAATAGAAAGAGAACGACAATTACTTTTTCTTTGGGCTGCCTGTAGACTGTTCCATTTAATATCCTGTGACCTGAGGCCAACATGGAAAGACACAGAATCTGACACAAGGATTGGGGGGAAACATGAACATACCAATCATACAGAATATTTAGATGAAGGTGGCTTCCAGAATGCTTCAGCTCTAGTGTGGAAGTATTTGGGTCCAATCAGAAGTTTAAATTTACTTCACCAGAAGCTGGATATTATTTTGATGTGAAGCCAGTCAGTCTTGTGCAAATGTTGTTGCTTTTTCCTGTATGATGGAAGACCTTCAACAGATTAGGCAGATCATGATTTTCAAGCGCTAAGGAACTTACTATTGGACAATTGTCTTCTGCAGAGAGTTACTTTGCAGGATTATTCAAATTGTACTTATGTTTTGCTGTATAGTATTGACATTTGCTTTAGCATCGCAAAGCACTTGGCAATCCACTGATCAATGGGAGTAACTGGTCATATCATTATACTCTTTATCTCTGGCTGAATTTGCTTTCTACATCTGAACTGAAGAGTGCAGATCTATAACTAACGAAAGCAGATCAGGCGCCTATAAATATTAAAGAGATACAGCATAACCTACATTATTAAGTCTATCTCTCTTTTTTTAAAAAAAGGATATATTATACTTATGAAGAAAACTGTGTGCAAAAGAAAAACAGGAAGCCACCTTCTTCCATTAGTCATTAGTGCATCTAGTTCAGGACTGGCTTTCCAGGGCTCCAGGCACTTTTCTTCCAAACTGCCTGAATACAAAAAAAACATGCCTTTAAACACATGTTCTACCACTGAGCTATGGTTCTTCTTCACAGTGTGCAAAGCATTTTCTATTTTTATTTTGCTTGTGACAGAAGAGATGTTTGCTCCACTGGTAAAAGAAATCTATGTGACATACAGCTCCATTTGACAAAGAAATGATATCTGCTATACTCCACGTCTGAATTATAAAAAAAGATCACTAACTATTCCTGCAGTCTAAATTCTTTAATCCTACTAACATAAACCCTTGATATCTATTTCCATCACTATTTATGCCTTGCTGTTTTGAAAACCTGTATTGAGTATTTTTAAAAAAGAAATATTCTCCCCTTCCCTGTTTACTTAAAGTATCTCGGACAAGCCTCTTTTCCATCCTGTAATGGACAAGAAATTCCAGTCAATTCATTGATAGAATTCAAATTTTCACCTTAAAGGATGTGTTTTGGAATGGAAGCTTGAAGTTATGCTGATAAGCATGTCTGAGACCAGCTCCACAGCAATTGTAATTCTTGTAAGAATTACAAGAAAGTAAGGCTTGGGGAATGTGTGGTCCTCCAGATGCCATTGGACTTAATTTCTCATCAGCCCCAGCCAAAATTGTCAGTGGTCATAGATAACAGGAGCTGCATTTCAACATCTAGAGATCCACAATTTCTGCGACCTTGTCATGCTCTACAGATCTACAGCCCCCTAAGAGTTTCTTGAGGAGGGTCATGGCAAAACTGGCTTAATTATCTAGTATAGTCTGGCACAATACAAGTCTGTGGCTTCAGGCATCAGTTAGGGCTTAGGACATAGGCCAATACAGTGGTACCTTGGTTTAAGAACAGCTTAGTTTATGAACAACTTGGAACAAGAATGCTCCAAACCCGGAAGTAGGTGTTTTGGTTTGTGAACTTTGCCTGGGAAGCAGAACATGTTCTGCTTCCTGTTGAGTATGTTCCATTTGTAAATTGAGTCCCCCGCTGCTATGGGAAAGCACTCCTTGGTTTAAGAACGCTTTGGTTTAAGAACGGACTTCCGGAACAGATTAAGTTTATAAACCAAGGTATCATTGTATTGAACATGGAGCATTATGACAAACCACTCATTATTTTTACTCAGCCCTTCAGATGGTGGTGGTGAATGAGAAGAAATCATTCACCGAATTGACTTGAATCTTAACTTCCACTCCCAGACCAGGGATTTCCTCCTTTACACCTCTGTGTGCATTTTCATATATCTGCTTCTGTGGGTTGGGATATGCTTTCAAACAGAATGGCATCTGCAGCTGCAGCAGGAAGAGAGAATTAACAAAAGTGGGGCTTGTATGAGAGGAAGTGCACACAGTGGTTTCAACTTCTGCAGCACCACCATCCGATCTAAGCTGTATATTGTAGCTCCTTAACAGAATAGTTGTATGCCAATGAGAAGAATAAAGATGCACTACAGTCTCTATAACAGCAAGTTCAGTTCCAGATAGATGAATCTTGCAACATAAAGATTCTAGGGAACAATAAGTCCCAATGAAGAATTAATTATACTTAGCACAGGGTGAATGTGACACAGAGGGCAGGTTTATCATATTCCAAGGTCTTTAAATTTAAATTTGGTCAGGGCTCAGCCTGACTCCCTTTCTCTTTTTGTATAAGAACTACAGTGGTACCTCAGGTTAAGTACTTAATTCGTTCCGGAGGTCCGTACTTAACCTGAAACTGTTCTTAACCTGAAGCACCACTTTAGCTAATGGGGCTTCCTGCTGCCACTGCGCTGCCAGAGCACGATTTCGGTTCTCATCCTGAAGCAAAGTTCTTAACCTGAAGCACTATTTCTGGGTTAGTGGAATCTGTAACCTGAAGCGTATGTAACCTGAAGCGTATGTAACCCGGGGTACCACTATAGTATGAAAGAGGCCTCCCAGGATTCTCACAGGCCCGTAGAAGAACACTGTAAACAGTTGGGCCTGATGAGCATTTACTGTTCCCAACCCTAATCCTGCGGAAAGCCATCAAATTCGATTTTAATTTGATCCTGACTTGTTTTTAGGAGGTAATTTAATTATTGTTTGATTTTATACCAATGTTATATATTTTATGTTAGCCGCCCTGAGCCTGGTTTCGCCCAGGGAGGGCGGGATACAAATAAAATATTATTATTATTATTATTATTATTATTATCCCCTTCATGGATCACTGCCTTGCCGTGGCGAAGGGGCTTGAATAACTCAGAGAAGCTATGAGCTATGCCATGCAGGGCCACCCAAGATGGACAGGTCATAGTGGAGAGTTTTGACCAAACGTGATCCACCTGGAGCAGGAACCGGCAAGCCACTCCAGTATCCCTGCCAAGAAAACTCCATGGACAAAGACAACAGGCATATGAAAGTTATGACGCTGGAAGATGAGCCCCTCAGGTCGGAAGGCGTCCAACATGCTACTGAGGAAGAGCGGAGGACAAGTACAAGTAGATTCAGAGCTGATGAAGCGGCTGGGCCAAAGCCGAAAGGACGCTCAGTTGCGGATATGCCTGGAAGCGAAAGGAAAGTCCAATGCTGTAAAGAAAAATATTGCATAGGAACCTGGAATGTAAGAACCATGAACCTGGGTAAGTTGGATGTGGTCAAAAATGAGATGGCAAGAATAAATATTGACATCCTGGGCATCAGTGAACTAAAATGGATGGGAATGGGCGAATTCAGTTCGGATGACCATCATATCTACTACTGTGGGCAAGAATCCCGTAAAAGAAATGGAGTGGCCCTCATAGTCAACAAAAGAGTGGCGAAAGCTGTACTGGGATGCAATCTCAAAAATGATAGAATGATCTCGATACGAATCCAAGGCAGACCTTTTAACATCACAGTAATCCAAGTTTATGCACCAACCACTGGTGCTGAAGAAACTGAAATTGAGCAATTCTATGAAGACTTACAACACCTTATAGAAATGACACAAAAGAAGGGTCTTCTTCTCATTATAGGGGATTGGAATGCTAAAGTAGGGAGTCAAGAGATAAAAGGAGCAACTGGCAAGTTTGGCCTTGGAGTTCAAAAAGAAGCAGGGCAAAGGCTAATAGAGTTCTGCCAATAGAACAAGCTGGTCATCACAAACACTCTTTTCCAACAACACAAGAGACGACTCTACACATGGACATCACCAGATGGGCAGCATCAAAATCAGATTGATTATATTCTCTGCAGCCAAAGATGGAGAAGCTCTATACAGTCAGTAAAAACAAGACCTGGAGCTGACTGTGGCTCAGATCATCAGCTTCTTATAGCAAAATTCAAGCTTAAACTGAAGAAAGTAGGAAAAACCACTGGGCTGGTAAGATACAATCTAAATCAAATCCCTTATGAATACACAGTGGAAGTGAGGAACAGGTTTAAGGATTTAGATTTGGTGGACAGAGTGCCTGAAGAACTATGGATGGAGGCTCGTAACATTATACAGGAGGCAGCAACTAAAACCATCCCAACGAAAAGGAAATGCAAGAAAGCAAAGTGGCTGTCCAACGAGGCCTTACAAATAGCGGGGAGAGAAGGCAAGCAAAATGCGAGGGAGATAGTGAAAGATACAGGAAATTGAATGCAGATTTCCAAAAAATAGCAAGGAGAGACAAGAAGGCCTTCTTAAACGAGCAATGCAAAGAAATAGAGGAAAACAATAGAATGGGAAAAACCAGAGATCTGTTCAAGAAAATTGGAGATATGAAAGGAACATTTCGTACAAAGATTACCATAATAAAAGATAAAAGTGGAAAGGACCTAACAGAAGCAGAAGACATCAAGAAGAGGTGGCAAGAATACACAGAGGAACTATACCAGAAAGAAATGGATGTCTCGTGTACCCCAGGTAGTGTGGTTGCTGACCTTGAGCCAGACATCCTGGAGAGTGAAGTCAAATGGGTCTTAGAAAGCACTGCTAATAACAAGGCCAGTGGAAGTGATGATATTCCAGCTGAACTATTTAAAATTTTAAAAGATGATGCTGTTAAGGTGCTACACTCAATATGCCAGCAAATTTGGAAAACTCAGCAGTGGCCAGAGGATTGGAGAAGATCAGTCTACATCCCAATCCCCAAGAAGGGCAGTGTCAAAGAATGCTCTAACTACCGCACAATTGCACTCATTTCACACGCTAGCAAGGTTATGCTTAAAATTCTACAAGGCAGGCTTAAGCAGTATGTGGACCGAGAACTCCCAGAAGTGCAAGCTGGATTTCGAAGGGGCAGAGGAACCAGAGACCAAATTGCAAACATGCGCTGGATTATGGAGAAAGCTAGAGAGTTCCAGAAAGACATCTACTTCTGCTTCATTGACTATGCAAAAGCCTTTGACTGTGTCAACCACAGCAAACTATGGCAAGTTCTTAAAGAAATGGGAGTGCCTGATCACCTCATCTGTCTCCTGAGAAATCTCTATGTGGGACAAGAAGCTACAGTTAGAACTGGATATGGAAGAACTGATTGGTTCAAAACTGGGAAAGGAGTACGGCAAGGCTGTATATTGTCTCCCTGCTTATTTAACTTATATGCAGAATTCATCATGCGAAAGGTTGGGCTGGATGAATCCCAAGCCGGAATTAAGATCGCCGGAAGAAATATCAACAACCTCAGATATGCAGATGATACAACCTTGATGGCAGAAAGTGAAGAGGAATTAAAGAACCTTTTAATGAGGGTGAAAGAGGAGAGCGCAAAATATGGTCCGAAGCTCAACATCAAAAAAACGAAGATCATGGCCACTGGGCCCACCACCTCCTGGCAAATAGAAGGGGAAGAAATGGAGGCAGTGAGAGATTTTACTTTCTTGGGCTCCATGATCACTGCAGATGGTGACAGCAGTCACGAAATTAAAAGACGCCTGCTCCTTGGGAGAAAGGCGATGGCAAACCTAGACAGCATCTTAAAAGCAGAGACATCACCTTGCCAACAAAGGTCCGTATAGTTAAAGCCATGGTTTTCCCAGTAGTGATGTATGGAAGTGAGAGCTGGACCATAAAGAAGGCTGATCGCCGAAGAATTGATGCTTTTGAATTGTGGTGCTGGAGGAAACTCTTGAGAGTCCCATGGACTGCAAGAAGATCAAACGCATCCATTCTTAAGGAAATCAGCCCTGAGTGGTCACTGGAAGGACAGATCATGAAGCTGAGGCTCCAATACTTTGGCCACCTCATGAGAAGAGAAGACTCCCTGGAAAAGACCCTGATGTTGGGAAAGATTGAGGGCACAAGGAGAAGGGGACGACAGAGGACGAGATGGTTGGACAGTGTTCTTGAAGCCACAAACATGAGTTTGACCAAACTGTGGGAGGCAGTGGAAGATAGGAGTGCCTGGCGTGCTCTGGTCCATGGG